AACTTTTGACCTTTTGAAGTATATTTTGTCCTTATACTTTACTTTTTTGTGTAATAGGTGTGGCATTTAACAGTGTATATACATGCATTTTATATATATGGGTTTTTTTGTGTGTGTGGAACCAGGGATGGAACTCAAGCTCTTGCGCTTGCCAGGGAAGCGCTTATTCTACTGAGCCATCTCCCCGGCCCCTTATATATATGGTTTTAAGCTAGGAATTTATTATAAACAATTGTGCAATTATGACTGTAATTGTCATTGATTTGTTATTTAAATTCAAAATTTTAGCACTTAAAAATACCTTGTGGTCATTTTCTTCTTTATTTTAAAGAAAAAATAAACACTAAAAACAATGTCATAATATTCAAAAGCATGATTGTAGGAAAGCGGCGAGATAGCTCAGCGGTAGGTACCTGCCTGGCAAGCGCAAGGACCTGGGCTCCAGCCCTGCTGTGCCAGCCCCAGAAGCCCGGGCGTGCTGTGCTGGCCACCGACACTGGGCACGGTGGCACACACTTGTAATCCCAGCCCTGGGACGCTGACACAGAAGCATCACTGTGAGTCCGCGCTGCGTAGCAAGACCCTGTACCAAATACATAGGAGATTAAAACCAAACAAGATTGCAGGAGAGTAAAAGTGGTGGATACATTGCATATTGTTATCTTCTAAGTATTTGCTCATATTATAAGACATAAGAATGAAAAATTGAGCAAATAGTATAGGCATAAGCCTTTCCATCCAATGAGCTCATAGCAATTAATAGTTTTAACTGAGGTGTGTATGTGTATTTATATATTTTTTTCTTTTCCCTTCCTTCTTTTCTCCTTTCACCCATTCTAGCTTCTCTTTCCTTTTGAGCATTTTTGTCCCATTTCACAATATCTGTTGTACATTTTGGGTCTTATTTATTCTTCCAGCTTCTAACACTAGGGAGACAATACAACATTTATACATGCAAGAATTTATTTATTTATTGACTGATTGGTAGATTGATTGAGTATGGACTCAAGCCACAGCCATTTCCTTTTTTATGACTGGCTAGTACTCCACTATATAAAAACACATCATTTTTTTATATATGATTCTTTTTTTTCCCCCTCTTTTCATTTTATGTATTTGGTACAGGGTCTCACTGCGCAGCTTGGACTTGTAGTGATCCTCCTGTTTTCAGCCTCCTCAGTGCTGAGATTACAGGCATGTGCCACCACAGCTGAACTCTGTGGTTGGGGCGGGGCCCATGGCATGCAGGACCAGGATCGAACCCTGATCCCTGTGCTTACCAAAGCAGGTGCTTAGTCTGCTAAGCTATCTTGCCGGCCCTGCCACATC